GACGAGATATCGAAGAGGGTGAAGTCAATGGGCTTCAACTGCGTCAGGCTTACTTGGCCCACTGAGCTCGTCACGAATCGTAAGCTGATGAATCGGACGGTGAGGGAGTCGTTCAATGGGTTGGGGTTGTTTGAGTCCGCTGCTGCTGTTGGGGTTAATAATCCGCAGTTGCTGGATCTCACTCTCATCAAAGCATTCCAGGTAATGTTTTTTTTTTCTTATTTTTGTTTTTTTTTTTTTTTTTGGGATCCAATAGATATGCAATCTTTTATTGGCCAATTGGTGGCTGGTTGGTTCGCCCCTATCTTCTGCGCATAACGTGGGTTATGTTGCTGTGTGGCCACGCTGCATTCAACAGCAAATCCAATTGCGGTCGTTGGAGTTATTATACATTTGTGCTTGGAAATTACATTTTGGGGTTTTCCCTAGATAATAGAATAATTATACGGAACCCATTTTTCGATTTTAATTTATACAGAAACCATCTTTAAAGTGTATTTTTGTTGCAATTAGCCACCTCTCAGTCAAATTTTAAACTAAAAACTCAAAATTACCCTTGAAAACACATATTCAAGGCACATGACTATGTTTTTAATGTTTAGGTCTTGTTAGGATACCACTCATGTATATTGAACTTGAATTTTTTTAAACCAATTTTTGTTTTTTTGTAAAAATTTGATTGGGAGGTGGTTGATTGAAACAAGCCCCCACTTTAATGATGGTTTATATATAAATTGAAACTCAAAAGGATTTTTTTTATACTTACCTATTTTAAATGTGGTTTCTAGGAAGAAAAACCCTTATATCTTCTATGAGGGTTTTTTCTCTCTCCATGAAACACACCTTTAAAATAGGTCAAATCGATAGAATTCACATTTAAAACTTTTTTCTATTGTTAACTATGGGTAGTCCGACTCACAAAGAAGACCTCTCATTAATGTGATGACGGTGACCGAAGATGAACGATGTTCTTGCATTCCGTCAATGCGGAGGGGAGGACTAAGAATATGGATTATATAGCTGATATTCTCTTGAAAGCCATTGAAGAGGTTGGTCCTCATAATGTTGTACAAGTCGTAACCGATAATGCACCTGTTTGTAAATCTACGGGAGGCATTGTGCAAGGAAGACATTCTCATTTTTTTTTGGACTCCATGTGTTGTCCACACACTCAATCTTGCCTTAAAAAATATTTGTGGGGCAAAAAATACCGAAAGAAATGAGGTAGTGTATGAGGAATGTAGTTGGATCACCGAAGTTAGCGATGATGTTGTTGTTATAAGAAACTTCATATTGAATCATTCCTTGAGATTGTCAATGTTCATTGAACATGTGAAGTTTAAAATGCTTGCTATAGCTGAAACTCGTTTTGCTTCGGTTGTTATCATCTATGATGCACGGATACGGATACGGGATACGGATGCGACACGGATACGGGATACGGCGAAATCCAAAAAAACAAGATACGGGGATACGACGAGGAATTTTTTTTCAAATTATTATTATATATAGAAAATTTTATAAAATTCAACTAACAATCTAAATTATGAATCTATGACAAAATAACAAATTTGTAAACAAAAAGGAATTAGAGTACATACTCATTCTATCACAAAATAACGAGTTTCAAGTTTGTAAACAAAAAGGAATTGGAGTACATACTCTACTCATTCTATCACAAAATAACAAGTTTGTAAACAAAAAATACATCAAGATAAAGTGGAAGTTAGTCCGATGACTTCTTCATTGCCTTCATCATCAGCAAACAATATAGCCTCCATGGTGGGTTCATCAAGAGACAATGTGGCGACATCAAGGAGACAAGGTGGCGACATCAAGAATACCGGCACCCTGAAATGAGTCGAATGCATCTCCACCAATATCCCACAGCTTCGATTCTCCTTCTTTATATTCTTGGGATGATCGAGAAAGCAAACGAAGATTGCTATGCACATACACAAGATCTTCTGCCCTTTCCGGTGTCATCTTGTTCCTCTTCAAAGAGTGAATGAATGAGTATGTACTCCAATTCCTTTCGCAGCAAGAGGATGAGCAGGGTTGGCCTAGAAGCTTGAAGGCCAATGCTTGAATATTTGGAGTTGAGGATCCATAGAGCGCCCACCATGCTGCTGGATCCATAAATCCTCTATCAGCAAGAGAATCTGGATCCCTAAAAATGTCAAGAGCAGCCGAGAATTTAGCAAATTCTAAGTTAACCATCCTCCGTTCATCGGTATTAGGATAATATCTCCTCAAACACTTGGTCCTTTCCAAAGAGATCTCCTCATCCTGATGGGGTGCTTGCCGATGGATATTCCCATTCAGTCATGTCTCGTGATAATATCTATTAAAGTTTAACATTGAATTAGACATTATTAATAAAAATAATCACATCAAAAATAATGAATTGATAACATAATCTAAATTATTACCTTGGATTCAAAGAGTGCGCCAAGCACTGAAGTGGCGTGTTGCTCTTATTCCATCTATCCTTCAAGATCTTGTGTACGACATCATAAAATGAGGAGGGATCATTTTCTTTTTTGCTCTCATGTTTATAAATAACAACCTTCACCTTCTCAATCATTGTATCCCACATATCATATACCAAATGAAGGCTGGGCTTGTCGGTATCGGTGAGCCGAATCATATCATATATAGGAGCAGTGAAAGCAATAATATAATCCATCCTATCCCACCACAAATCATCAAGCACTTTCTTCTTAACAAACTGTGCTTTTCCCACATCATCATCTCTGTACGAGCTCCAACGGTCGCTAAGAACCATATCTTGGAGGCTTCTCTTGATCACCGTGAACCTCTTCAGCATGATGATCCATGAAGCAAATCGAGTATCAGCAATTGAAAGAAGCTTCATCTTCGAATGCTCATTGAACATAGCCAGCCTCATTGAGTGATTCATGATGAAGTTCTTAATCATCAAAGCATCATCATATACCTCTGTAATCCAGCTGCACTCTGCATAAGCAATTGCATTAGCCTCTGTATTCTTTACAGCACAAATATTCTTAAGGGCAAGATTGAGGGTGTGAACAACACATGGAGTCCAGAAAATGTGTGGAAATTTTCCCTCCACAACTGCCCCTGCTGCCTTACATGCCGAAGCATTATTAGTAATGATTTGGATCACATTTTGAAGCCCCACCTCTCTAATGCAAGCTTCAAGCTTCTCTGCAATGAAATATTTATTCTTCTGCTCTCCCTCAGCATTCACGCAGTGCAAGAACATTGGCTCATTATCTGAGACCGCAATGAAATTTATCAGTGGCCTCCTCTGTGCATCTGCCCAGCCATCACTACAAATAGATACCCCCTTATGCTTCCATGTGCCCCTGATGGGCTCCAACAACCTCTCTACGTGAGCCTTCTCACGTTGCAAAAGAGTGGTTCTCAAAGAATTATAACCCGGAGGCTTGTAACCGGTAATTGAATTACTTGCGGCATATGTGATCATCTTGGAGAAATAAGGATTTCTTGCCAAATTAAATGACAACCCACCAGTATAGAACATCCTTGCAATCATTGAATCCAATTCATCTCTTGCCCCTGTATTAAAGGCTTGTTCAACAGTGGTGACTCCCCTCCTCCTCTTTAGCTCACTTAGACGAGAAGGCATGCATTGACTTCCTGCTGCTGCACTTGATGCTGAAGAACCTGGCAGCGTCACTGTCCTAGGCATAGAAGCCATCACCCTTGCTTCTGCTTGATCCATATCAGCTTGCATGTCTCTCATATTGTGCGGCTTAACACCTTTGCACACTTTAATTCCTTGCCCACTAGTCCACATTAGATGAGCTTTGACCCTTGAGTAAGAGGATGTAAATACTTCATGACAGTAACTACACATCCACTGCCAATTCCCCCCTCCTTTACCCATCTTCTCCAACTTTGCGACATACTTCCACAAAGGAGTGTGATCATCTTGAACAGACTGTGCACCAGAACTACCTTCTGCTTCCATTGCTATAAACAACAACAAATACTAATTAAATATTAAACCATAACATATATGGAACATAATATGAATTACAATGCAAGAAATATGTATTAAATATTTACATGTTCATAATTTATTAGTTAGCACGCTAATTACTATTTTAAGCTCTTTTTCTAATTATACTAATTAATAAGTTGTTGCTCACTGACTTTGTTTTTCTTTTTACAGATTATACTTGAGAGTAAAGTAGCAACAAGCAAGGATGAAGGATCAATCAAATTTTCCAACACAGCTGCCATTCTGCCAAAATAAATGTCCATAATATATTCATTAAATATGTATATTCATATTGTAATAATAGTTGAGTGATAATGATCTCAGATTCTCAATGACCATGTTCATGCATATAAGATATAACTTCAAATTTTGCATCACAATTCTCAATGACCATGTTCATGCATATAAGTTTATCTATTTAAAAAGACACATGTATAGTTAACAGCTACTTACCTTCAAGAAAGACAATATTTATCTTCATAATTATGCACAAAAAGAATTATGTCGTGCCCTTTTAACTAATGCTATTTATCTAACAGACCAATTTAATCATATGTGAATATCAACAACACATTTATATAAGTTCAGCAATCAAACACATAAATGCAGTCAATCAAAGTTTAAATTCAGTTAATAATTCAGTTGTGTTAAAAACTGAAATTGAAATTGAAAAAATATTCATATGGTAAGAAATTAAAACTGAAATTGAAACCAAAATTGAAAAAAAAAACAAAATACCAAATGAAATGACTTTCTTGGTTGCTACAGGACTACTCGAAAATTAAGTTGACAAGTTGTAAATAGAAACCTTAATCCACCATCTCACCCCATGTAGGTTAGTCTTAAAATAACAAAAACCCTTTTAACTGAACCTTCTAAGCTTTACCTATATTTCCATGTACATCAAAATTCAAATGCTGTACGTGAACTTCCATTGACCGAAACCAAGGTGCCTCCTTTCTTGTTCATAACAGCGGCCTATAAACTAAACTGGCGAATAGTTGATATTTCAACAATTAAGCATATGATTATTTGAAAAAGAGAACCAGAGATGAGAGGAAGAACCAGAGACAGAGAGAGAACCAGAGAGACGAGGAGATAGAGAGAAAAAGAGAGATAGAGGATGAGATCTGAGAGAGAGAGAGAGACGAAGAGAGAGAGAGAGAGAGAAGAGAACGAGCGGCGTCACCGTCCGCTGCCGAATCGACCAGATCGAGAGAGAGAGAGATCGAAGATAGAGATCTTACCTAGTGAGAGAGACGTCGGAGATCTGAGGATGAGTTCTGAGGACGAGATTTGTGGACGAGCTCTGAGGACGTCGGCGTCGGAGATCGAGGACGAGCGGCGTCGGAGATCGAGGACGAGATCTAGAGGCGCAGAGAGAAGATGAGGAGCAGCGGCGGTAAAAAGAGAACAGCGGAGAGAAGAGGTGATTTTAGGGTTTCGATATGGGTTTTTGGGTTTCGGTTACGGGTTTTGTTAACTCATCCGAATCGCAGTTTTTTTGATTTCACGAATCTCACCCGTATCCGCCCTCAATTTGACCGTATCCGCCCAAGTTGACTGTTGACCCGTGTCGGACACGGCTTTGACCGTGTCCGACACGTGTCGTGCACGTATCGGGGCGAATCAGTATCCGATTCGAGTCAGACACCGATTCGTGGCCTCCGGAGGTGAATCCGTGCTTCATAGGAGGGAGGTTCATTATTTTAATATTTTCCGAAAATCAATTCTCATGAATGGCAATTTCAATGTGCAACTAGTTTGTGTTATGTGAAATATCTTCTAAAGTTGATTCTTATATGTGGCAACATATTTGTTTGACTTCTCTTTCCTGTACTGGCTTCTGAATATTTATTTGGACTAATTCTTAACTATTACGGATGCAGGAGGCCCTTCTTAATTCACTTCCAAAACTCATGGGTTCGCTATCATCTACTGTTGAGGGGTATGTCTAATCACCATATTCCTCGTGGATGTGAGAGTATCAATTTTGGTCTTTCACTCTGCCTTCAACGTTCGATTTTGTAGATCCAGTGGATCTTAAATTCCCTTTTTTATATAAAATTTGGAACTGCTGTTTGACCTTTACCTGCGAGCTACTAGTTTGACAAATGGATATGTGAAAGTTGCCTTAAAAGAAACCATGTATTATGACAATTTGCACAATTGACGAAGTAAAAAGGAATGGAAAAATGACCTTTGGGCAGGCCATGCACATATCTTAAGTTTGAAGGTCAACAACTCATAAAAGAGTATTATATCTGGAGTGTGCTTGAACTGATCGGTGAAATACTGAAGTTTTTAGTTTGAGAAGTACATTTGTTGCTTTAACTGCAATAGACTTAGCAGTTGATACTGCTTTGAGATTAATGTTGTTAATGAACTCACTCTATTTACAAATAAATGCTTGCATTAAATTTGTGTGCACAGGTTTATTGATTGCTAGTACAGATATTTTGCTTTTTAAACTCATGTCTGTAGTTTATGGTGAGGTTCTGCCTATTGTTGTCCTCCTGGACACAGTCAATTTTTTATCCTTACAGGAGTTATGTGCAATGTAACTCAAATTATTTTGCTCAATTTTCTGATTCAACTTTGTTGTCCTTATTAGTTTTATCATTTATGTTAATCTGTATCCCTTTGTAGAGGAGATTCTGCAGCTGTGGCTATTACCACAACTGATCTTGTAAGCAAGAGTGTGGCCATCGAGACTAAGGTCTGTGTGGTTATTTTCTGGTTCTCTCCTTTTGCATTCTTGATTGATATTCGATTTAGGCTCTGTTAGCAGATGGTTCTTCTCCTGATAATTTAATTGAATCAAGTGCCATTATTTTTCTGATTTTAAATTAGATTGGAGGGACGCCTATAAGAATTGGGGGAATGGCAAAAGGTTCAGGAATGATCCATCCAAATATGGCAACCATGCTTGGGGTATATCCTTATATTTCTTTTATTTCTTGGGGCAGGCAGGTGGGTGCACACATTAGAAATTATATTTTATTAATTTTTGTTGCAGGTGGTAACTACTGACGCTCTAGTCACGAGCGATATTTGGAGAGAGATAGTGCGCATATCAGTAAACAGAAGCTTTAACCAAATCACAGTGAGTTAGATAGCATTTATTCTCTTATGAATTGATAACTTCTGCAGAATCTTCTTAGATATATAATTGTAAAATATTAGAACTTGCAACCAAAGATCATAACCTCACAATCAATAGTACCTAATCATAACCTCACAATCAATAGTACCTAATCATAACCTCACAATCAGTTGTACCTAGAAATATAACAAATAGCCTTTCATAGAGCTAATACTGACCATTTTCCAAGAACTCGAATATTTGTTGCATTACGTTGGAAAGATATTACTGAATGATAATGTTCATAGGATATAGGTTAATTTTTGTCAAATTGTTATCTGTGTAGAAGTAGTTCTTTATATTTTTTGATGGATGTATTTGCTGAAGGTAGATGGAGATACTAGTACCAATGACTGTGTCATTGCTTTGGCTAGTGGAATATCTGGATCAACCAAGATTTATTCTCTTGATTGCTACGAGGCTCGTCAACTTCAAGCATGCCTAGATGCAGTGAGTCATCTTTTTCCTTCTGAGATTAAGGTTTATTTACCATCACATATTAACAAACATCACTATAATTAGGTTCTGTATTCTGTAACTCAGGGGTCAAGCATAACCTGCTCTCGGATGTCTCTGTCAGTTTCTTTTTTAGGCTCGTATTACTACTAAAGTGAAACTATTGTATCCTTGGCAGGTGATGCAAGGCCTTGCAAAATCAATAGCATGGGATGGTGAGGGTGCGACATGCTTGATTGAGGTATCCCATTATTAATTCTGATTCTGAGATTTAGCAACATGCTTCTATAAGTGTAATAAAAATTACTAATTGCTAAGTAATACTGTAATACATGAAAATGAACTTAACTAGCAAAGAATTCACTAATATTGTTCTTTATGCATTTTATGGGAGTGAAAACAGCGAAGAAGAAGCAATATCATGCATTCTTTTTGTTAACATCTAGCAGTTTTTGTTAACTTCTATGTTTTCTCTTTTTCAGTCATCTACTTGCATTATCATTGTTCTCTGCACAAACCTACTAGGACAAAACTGTTCATCTCTTACAATTTGTAGGTCACTGTTAGTGGTGCAAATAACGAAGCAGAGGCAGCAAAGTTTGCTCGTTCAGTGGCATCTTCTTCACTTGTGAAGGTTTGATACAGCTTGTTGATTGTTGTGTCCGCTATCTCTTCTTGTTACTGTACCATACCATTTTTATTGTCTCTCCCTTCACAAAAGATAACAATATAAACCATAATTTCTCCAGGCCGCTGTGTATGGTAGAGATCCGAACTGGGGGCGCATTGCATGTGCTGTGGGCTATGCTGGCATTGATTTTAATCCAAATGATTTGAACATATCACTTGGAAGTATTTCGCTTATGAACAGTGGTCAACCACGCCAATTTGACAGGTAGAAGATGAGTTTATACTAGCCCTGAATATGTGTGAGGCAATTACCACTAGTGTAATTCTAAAGCAGATAATAGATTTCATAAATGACATTTGTATTAAATTAGAATTTGAATCACCTAAGAAATGAAATGTTCAATTCCCTTATAGGTAACAGCTTGCAACTAACTAAGGTTGTTCCAGTCCTATTCAAGTGAGTTGCATACTAGAATGTGTTTTTTAAGGATAAGCAATTCATCTTGGCACCTTGGGATAACTCACAATACAAGTTAAGAGAGAAAATTTACCGCTGAGAAAACAGAAGATAAGTCATCACTTAAACTACTTATTTGCCACAACCTCCCTTGGGATAACTCAGAATACAAATTAAGAGATAAAATTCTCCGCTGAGAAAACAGAAGATGAGTCATCACTTGAATTACTTATTTAATCGTCTTATACAACCATCTGTTTTGCCTATTCAAATATTTTTGCAGGGCTGCTGCCAGTAGTTATCTCAGACAGGCTGGAGAAACTCATGGGACTGTTGAAATCCATATATCAGTCGGTAAGCACTAGAATTTAGAAACTTGATAGATCTATGTTTAGCATGCACTTGTCTCAGGATTTTTTTTTTCCAATTAAAATTTATGCTAGATGGTTGTCTCAAGACATTTGTGCTTTTTTCTTGCCAGGAGCTCACCAAGGAAGCGGGAAAGCATGGGGCTGTGATCTAAGTTATGATTATGTCAAGATAAATGCAGAATATACTACATGAAGTTTTGATTTCCTACATGTGTTGAGGACCCTGAGAGCTGTTTTCTTCTGGCAATAAAATTATGTCCTCGCTATTTGTTCATCTCATGATAAAAGAGCATGGCAATGGATATCTTTCTCTACAGAGAAGCTTGGGACAATTGGATCATCTGGATGTCTAATGCAACGGGTAACTCCCGTTACCAGCTTCGGTCACCTCTTGCCTTATTTATTTCTCTACAGAAATAAGTACCGTGCAATACGTTGTTGTAACACTAGTGTAAAACTGTTTTCTTCGTGTTTTAGTTCATGCTAGGATTGTGAACTCCCTGTATAAATGGGGTCAAATAACTACATGTCTGGTATTTAGTTTAGGTTTGGTGACTAATCGATTGTTGGACACAACATTTCAGGCATACATTTAACCTTCAATTGAGATGTTTCAGGCATGCGTTCCTATTTAGCAAAAGATCGATAACCATCAAGCTTGATTGTTTGCAAAGTGCTTATTAGTTTTTACTGTAAAGTGAAGAAAGGTTCAGGCCAATTGCACAATTAGCTCGCGTATTAGAAAAGGGATGGATTAAAAACCAAAAGAAAGCTAAAATGGCAGGGGATACACTTAAGCTTCCCTCTGAACAAGAGACATGCTGCGGTACATGCCAGGAGCTATACCTGCATGAAGTTCATCTTCCCTCCATGTACTACATGAAGTTATGATTTATGATATATGGTTATCTCAAGTCATTTTTTGCTTTTTTGGAAAAGCTTGGGTCTGTGATTTAAGTTATGATTATGTCAACATAAATGCAGAATGTACTGCATGAAGTTCATCTTCCCTCCATGTACAGAGGCCTTATCTTCCAGCAATAAAAATATATCTCGTTATTTATTTATTGCATGATAAAAAGAGCATGGTAATGGATATTTATTCTCCGGAGAGAAGCTTGGGGCTACTGGATGATCTGGATGTCCAACGCAACATGGAACTCCCGTTAAGAGCTCCAATCACCTGTTACCTTATTTATCTCGCTACAGAAATAAGTACCTCGCAACAGGTGGTTGTTGTAACACCACCACACCAGCGTGTAACTTTTTCCTTTCCGTTTTATTAGTTGATGCTAGAATTGTGAACCCCTGTATAATTTAGATCAAATAGCTACAAGTCTGGTATCTAGTTCAGGTTTGGTTGCTTGCGAGTGTTTTTTGGTTTTATGCGTGAAGTGGTTCAGGCCAATTGCACAATTAGCTTGCGTATCGGAAAAGGGATGAATAGAAAACCAAAAGGAAGCTAAAATGACAAGGGATGCGCTTAAGCCGTTCCCTCAGAACAAGGGATTATGCTGAGGTATATGCACCGAGCTTTGTCGGCCTATTAAACTCGAATCATAGCTAGTGAACAAAGCATGATCCCGGAGGAGCTACATGCTCTTCTCATGGAGGAAACATGTCTATCTCCGTGCGTAGATTTTCTTTGGTCGTCGTCGTTCCCCGGTTCAATTTCAGCAGTGAGGGCGCGGTGAATAGAGGATGTGAATCCTGTCTTAAATGACGTAGGGCGATTGAAGATCCTTTGGCAACGATGGTTTCTCAACTTGAACATCAGTCTTGAAATAAATGTCTCAGTATTTCCTACATTGTTTTTGTTCATCAGGCGCAAGGACTCTGAACGAGCGTGCAAAAAATATACGACCCAGCTGTGTGCTTTGAGTTTTAAAATGATAGTGAACTCAAGCTTCTTCCAATATTAGCTAGGCTCTTTTCACCCTCATAAAAAACAGTGAACTCCCGTACTAGTCCATGCTGCTTGAGTTGTTGTGTGTTCCAGACCAAATTAGTAAAACTAGCACTGTCGATGTCCGTCAGTGTAGCCGAACATTTTGCTTATCTGGTACAGTTTTCACACTCCTGCAAATAACCCTCTGCCTAAATGGAAAAACTGGCATCGTTTTCGCAGTCCTGTAAATAAAACTATGCTTAGATAGAAAAACTCCAAACAGCAAATTCCGCAGAGGTCTCATCGTAAGTATCTCCTGCTACTCTGCTAGAGTACCTTCTGCCTGCTACTCTGCTGAGTACCTTCTGCTTCTCTTCGAGGCACAGATCCATCACCTTCTCTGCCCTTACAGCAGAGGCACGCACCTTCTGCGCTCATATAACAGAGGCACACACAGTTACTGGATAATGAGCCTTCATACACAACACAAGATAATGAGAATGATGCATTCGCGCTGTCTGATTTGTAACACTTAACAATCTTTCTTAAATTTTGATGGCTCGTGAAATATCTAGTATATTTGGAACAGCTTTCGATTCAACGCCATCATGGCAATGCGTTCACTATATTCAGCAGTGACGCGCACAGAAACACAGCTAGGGCAGCCCACAAGGAAGCAAAAACAGACAGACAATAATGATCTGCACCAGGAAGTGAAACATAATCTCATACTTAATATAACAAGGCGCAAGTTACAATAAGGCACAAATTCAACACACAGCTGTTTCCATTCTTCCGCCATGAGCTGGAATACGATACCATGAACTGCAATACGATACGATGATCATTACAAGTTAAGATCATACAATCATCCAAAACCAATTCTTCCAAATAACTGAAAACTCTATACAAGAAACCAGTAAATTGGGCTATCGAGCTTTTAGAAAACAAAGGCACATTATTCATTCATAACCCCCGAATAGGAAGAAGTTCTCAACCGCGACGCGACTGGCAACTACCACTTGCTATTATTTATGTACAATCATCAGTTCGCGCAAAATACTTGCTCCCATCAGGAAGCCTCGCCAATTGACAGATGCACCTTAGGTATTGCCTCCCTCAAGAAGCTGCTTCCACATTTCGCTTCCTGGTCACTAATGTTGTACCCAAAAATGTCGACCATATTTGACTTGTCAAAATCGTCAAGGACCAGAATGTCCCCACTTGTTTGCAATCTGACAACAAAGTCCATTGAAACTGTTACTCCAAGAACTGAAAAGAAATCCCATACAACACCCCTTAAAAAAGTAACATATTGGAAAAATGAGATAATGACATGTCCCAGCATCAATCGTGATGTACATGTCACTAATGCCTTTCAATGCATCATTTCAGTGTACTAATTCAATTGTGACTCCAGTAATAGTCAGATGATGGCACTAACGATCACAGCAGTGATACAAGTGTCAGACTCTGCCCTCATCCGCAAGGAACCCAAAATATGGGACCAATAGGGGGGACAAGTGAGGTGTCTCTCTCCTATTGGATAATGAGTTGACAATCATTAATGATGACCAACTCATTATCCAATAGGAGGGGGACACCTCACTTGTCCCCCATATTGGTCCCATATTTTGGGTCCTTCAAGAATTTTTCTAAAAAAAATTAACATGGTGCATCAGTTATGCACATAGAAAGGAGTGATGACGTATCAGCATAGGAAAATACCTGGCATTTTGAGGATCAGGCCCATTGCTAAAAATTTTACGATTACCATGTTTCTTTTGACCCACATTCACACGTGATGATTTGCCCTTGTGTTTGTGTTTTTTGTCCTTTTTCTTTGCCTTAGGGCGTTGCTGATGACGATTCACAGTGTGTGACATGGAAGTAGAAGGTGGATCATAGACCTCTGGAGCCCATTTTACACGCAATTCTGACTTCACCATCGTCCCATTTGATGCCCGACCACCTTTCATAGCAGAAACAAGAGTCGAAGATGACTGCAAGAAACAAAGACTCTCGTCAACAAATGCATAACTCCACTTTTCAAAAATATAACATTATTTGTAAAGATGGACACGTCCTTGGTTCTAACATCCAATCACTGGTTAGTAAAAATAAAAATTTTGCCAACAAGTGGACCAAGATTATATCTTCCAGTAGCAACTGCCAAGTTATGCACTAAATTTTGGTCGTATCATCTACAGAGATATTTTTCTTTTCTATTATTTCTCTGGTGCATAATCAGTTCCAACAAAGAAAAAGAAAACGAGTTAATCTAATCACTGACAAGATTTATGGAAATCAACTCATATGGGAACAAACAAGCTTAAGCAATAAATCAACACAAGGGATAATTGTTAATACCAGAAAATATATGGTTAATCAACAAAAGATATATAGTTTTCCTTGAAGATTAACAAGTGCAGCATAATCTTTTGAACTTCTTTGTTATACTATTTATGTACATTGTCTGGAATTTAAAATTCTGAGTCATCAGAAAAAAGATGATAAATCCACAAGTAATAGGCAGTTATGTCCCTATTCTGAAGTTTTTAATAAGTTGATATCCCGGTAAGTAAAGATGTACAATACTACCAGTAAATTGATTCAAGCCCTTTTTGTAATATCATTCTTAACATTAGTAGTAAAATGAACACATGTAGTCCAGGATAGTTACTTAACAAATCAAAACAACCTTGTTACAATGTCGATCTAGTGTGATATATGACATTATTCATCAACCTAACATGTACATTGCTCATTGCACAAGCAATGAAGTTCAACAGAGAAATTCAGAGGTTCTCATGCAACCTAAAAGATGATTATACGAATCAATTTTCTTATCATTATGGATGTACCTGAAGAAAACTTAGTTAGATCCAATGAACTACACATGCAAAAAAGGAAATGAATTTGCAAAATTCAGACACTTTCAGAAAATGTTATGTAACAGGTAAATTGCAATGATAATAATGTTATGCAAGAATATGTCAACAACATCACATTGACAAATGATTGAAATAACTGCTATGTGCAATTTGTAGATGGGGATAGAACATAGAAGAGTGTGATATTGCAAGTTGCTAAGATGTGAGTAGATATGCTGAAGTTGTCACGGATTTATGTGTCTTTGTGCCTGTTAATGAGGGAGAGACTCTGCATATGAGCATTGCAGGTGTTTTGTAATATTATAAGGAGACCATTCTGAAGACATCAAGCCAGCCCAGAGAACAAAGTAGATTCCCAGGATCAAGGTTTTATATATAAGATATCGGGGAAATATCGGGGATATGTGGTAAATATTGGAATGACAAAATAGATGTTTGCATATATAGTACAATGTACTAAAATGTAATGTCAACATACTTAATGAAATCTAAGTATACAAAAGGTAAATAATATATGTTTAGGATCACTAATCAACCTTATAAAACAAACAAAAGTACAAATCAACATTGTTACATATCATCATATTTTTTAGGTCAAAATGTCATTTGATATAATGGGAAAACATGATATCTTGCCCAAAAATTACCAAACACGGTATATTGTTCTGTGACAAGTCATATAAAAGAATATATCGGCCAACATATCAGCTACATTGGGGATATAATGCCCAAAATAGCCAAAATGTGATAAAGGATATTTAAAACAACACCCAGGATAAGATATGCAGGATGAAACTTTTCTCAATAATTATTTCCAAAAACGTGTGACACTAATCAATGGATCTGCAATAGTTTCAAATTAACAACTACCTCCTAATAAGCGGAAATACCTCCAGAGAGATAGAGACTAATAAAAGATGGATAACATGGTGAACCAACATGTACAATAACTACTCAACTGAATTACACAGATAAAAAAAACTTACAGGGAGAGATATCGAGCGTGAGTAGGTAGAAGTCCCGGTTGCAGCATGATCTTGTCCTTCCATTGAGCTCAGTGTATCTGCTTTCCCCTTCATAGATGAAAAAGAGGCATCCATCTCTCTTGTCAGAGGAAAAGTTTTGGACTTGCCTAGATGTTTAACTTTTGCATCCAAGGAAAGGGACTGACTAAATTCCTGGCACACGTTGATCTCATTTGAAATTAGTGTATCATTCCAATCAGAAGATTCATCAGGAACACCAGTCTGTGCAGAGCAGAGTTGCAACTTCACGCTCTCTCCACTATCGACTTCAGCTGGAACTAGAACACAATGTTTCCTATCAGGTGAAGAAATACCATGATTCTCAGAAATACCATCAACAGCGTCCTTCATGTTGCAAGTAGGCAACTGCTTGTATTCTGTGTTTGGCTTCATAGCCAATGTCTCGAGGAATACAGGTAGTGCAAGGACTGAAGCTCAATATCCAGATAACACTGCACCAATAACCAATATATTCAATTAGACATGGGTGATTACCTAACATGCTTGGTTAATATTATAGTTAACAAATTGACACGGAATAGATTACTGTGAGCCAAACCACGACACTTAAGTTGCAGGCAACAAAACATTATGTCAAGGACGCCGTTGGTCAAATCCTTAATACTTAAGCGCCCATGTTTTGACTATTACAAGCAACTGCTACATGCACCTAGCAAATAATAAGGTCAAGACATATCAATCGCGAACGGACACGGACTGAATAGCTCCTCCAGTGACAAACTCATGACATTACATTCAATAGAAACAATAGAGAAACAGTGCTATCTGAAAGCAAACATCTTCAGCATAATCCAGCTTAGCTGAGAGACAAGAATTACATGTCATTTTAGAGCCACAAGCACATTGTATGCAAAATACTAGTCTTGATCACCCAGAAGAGAAAACGAGAAGGCACGTAAAGTAAGAACAGTGCCCAAGTCTAATACAATACAAAATACTATTTAAGTCTTTCTTTCAAGTTTTTTCCTTTCCATTGCTGACTCAGATAACATGATTCCACTTCACTTAATTACAATCTCACATAAAGCGAATCTGATTAAACAAATTTCTCATAAAAACTTATCATCAATGAATATTTCGAAGATAATTAAACAATGATAGACGAAAGAACAAATTGTTACCTCCAAATGCTGAGAACGTCCAGATCCACCAACCTCCAAACTATACCAAGATTATAACTCCAAAAATCTCAGATCAAGCCCAGATCGAAGAAGCAGAACAAAGAGAAGAAAGAAGGAAATAGAAAAACCCTAAAACAGCCGTATCTTCATCATCAAACCCCTGAAATCAACAAATATTACCGTGACGATTCCATTTCTCGAGCTTTTTCAGACGATGAGAACAGCATCCACCGTAAAACTTGGTCGCCGAGGGGATCACAGCGACGAGCACCGACGGCATCGTCTCGATGCTCGGATCGACTTCTAAAACCCTAGATCGAGATTCTATAAACCCTAATTTACTGATCTCAGTTTGGAAATTTTATCCCATCCAAAAAGGAGAAAAAGAAGCAGATGACTCGGGGACTAGAGGAGCCGGTGGATCGAGAAAATTCCAGAGAGGGTTTATATAGCTGTAGAAGACCACCGGCGGATGCCGGTGGAGTCGCCAGACGAGACTGACACGTGGAGGGAAATGAGAAGGATATTTATCTTTTGTTGGTACTGAACTTGGAAACGCATCAATAGCAGACGGTAGTGTAGGTGATCAGCTGTTGGAGACGATACAGCATATGTGGATTGCAACGAATGGATGGGTAGAAGAGGATGTGGAGTCCAGATAGTTTCACTTTGGTTCGATGCTGCGTGGGTCCCGCTAGGAGACGATGGATCACGTGACTCCGCGTGAAATTTAACGTTTATCAATAGAGAGCCACGTCGTGTTGCCATATAATGTGCCAATAGAGAAAAAGCTGTGTTTATTGGTAAGATTTAATTACAACAACAACAATGCTATTTGGCTCGCTCTTTAACTTGCAAGTTCAACTCGTGCCTACGTGGAGCCCCCACGTCAGCACTCTCAAAATATGTCAGTGACCTTCCCTTCCTTCCCCAAAATAGTTTCTCTCTCCTCACTTCAACCATCTCCCCGAGAGAAACCCACTCCACCCTCCTCCCCTCCCCCAATCTCAGCCCCAACTTCGTCGTGACTGGCCGTCGTCGCCCCCTGAAGCAGATCCGCTCCTCCTACGCCGTAGTCCCCTCTATCTCCCATCCCATCAGCTCTCCATAGAAGCCCTAAAATCGGATCGATCTCTCTCATCCCCCCACTTCAAAACAGGTACCTTTCCTCTTTTTTAATCCATCAAAAACCCTCGATTTCGTGCAAATTTTACTTCTTTCCATCTGATTTGATATGATTTCTGTTTGCATCTTGTTTAATTGAAATCTACTTACAAACTATTTTGGCTTGATTAAAATGGTTATCTAGTTCATTTACTCTGTGTTGTGTTCATTAAAACTCGTTAACAAGATAAAAATTCGTGGGTCTTTCCACAATTTTTTTCGTGGGTCATTAAAACATTGTGGATTTTACTGGTTAATTGGTCTTTCCATCTAGTTCCTTTACTGGTTAATTAAAAATTTGTGGGTCTTGAGAGAGTGATGTGTTTAATTTCAAGGTGGGGATTTTGTTTTTATTTATGAGCTTCATACCAGGAAATCATGATGTAGTTATTATTTAGTTGGTCACAATTTTTTTGTTTACTCTAAAGATGAAGTAACTAAAAGAAAAGGAAACAACTGCAAGTGTTCATTAACATCATAACCTTATACAGAATGATTCGTAGTTTTCTCTCCCCACTAATTATGTTTTGGTATGTCAATGAATAAAATCTGTGTTTTTCATAATGCAGCTTGTCAGTTTCAGTCAATTCTTTGCTCAGTTTCTTTATTCAGCTCAGTCTTTGTTCTGTTTCTGTCAACTATTTTTCTGTAAAGTTTATTGATGATCAATTTGAACAGACATGACAGATATTGAGGAGTTTGATGATTTAGATGATGATGACTTGAATAATTGCTCGGTTGATGAGAGATATGAGTTGCCTCAGCACACTGATCAGCAGATTGAGCAAAATGAGCCTAAAATTGGGATGAAATTTAACGATCCAGATGAACTGTTTGAGTTCTACAAAGACTATGCAAAGAGCAGTGGATTTCCAATTAAGAAACATACAAGAAGGAAGAATGAAATGGGCATTGTTAGAAGTATAACTTTAGTATGTGGTCGAGCTGGCAAACATAATAGTATTTGTCAAAATCCCTTAAAATCACAAGCAAGCTACAGAGTTGGGTGTAATGCAAAGATAACGGGTAGGTTAAATCTGGACAGAAGATGGGAAATATCTGTGGTTGTTCTGGAGCATAATCATGGCCTTAGCCCTAGTAAAAGTCGTTTCTTTCGATGCAACCGAAGAATTAGTGCACATGTTAGACATCAAATTAATCTGAATGATCAAGGCAACCGAAGAATTAGTGCACATGTTAGACATCAAATTAATCTGAATGATCAAGCCGGAATCAAAATCAACAAAAAATTTAGCTCACTGGTACATGATGCTGGTGGATATGAGAATCTGTTGCGTGATGAAAAGGCTTGCAGGAACTTGGTTGATGAATCGAGGCGTTTACATCTCAGCGAAGGTGATGCTTCAGCGATTATGAACTTTTTTTCAAGGATGGTTGCAGAAAATTCAGGTTTCTATTTTGATATTGAATTGGATGATGAAGATCATTTGAAAAATGTATTTTGGGCCGATTGTAGGAGCAGAGAAGATTACAAAGAGTTTGGTGAGGTCATCACTTTTGATACCACATACTTAACAAATAAGTATGATATGCCATTTGCACCATTTGTTGCCGTTAACCATCATGGACAATTAATTTTACTTGGATGTGGGTTGATTTCAAAAGAAGACACAAAGACTTTCATATGGCTATTTACGAAGTGGGTTGAATGCATGGATGGATGTGTTCGGCAAGGGATAATAACTAACCAAGCAAGAGCCATGAAAAATGCAATTGAGATTGTTTTTCCAAACACTAGACACAGATGGTGTTTATGGCATATAATGAAGAAGTTGTCAGAAAAGTTAGAAAGGTACACTTAATATGAGGCCATCAGTTCTACCATGAAAGGAGTGGTGTATGACACACAAAGTCCACAATAGTTTGAAAAACAGTGGAATAAAATGGTTGACATGTATGGATTGGAGGATTATGATTGGTTAGGTGAATTGTACGAGAAGAGAAACCGATGGGTTCCATGTTTTGTCAAAAATTCTTTTTGGGCAGGAATATCAACTACTCAGCGAAGTGAAAGCATGAATGCTTTTTTTTGATGGATATGTCAATTCAAAAACAAGTCTGAAATAGTTTGTTGAGCAGTATGAAAATGCATTAAGAAGCAAGGCGGAAAAGGAGATGCGGGCCGATGCAGAGTCATTTTCAAAAGTAAAAGCTACTGCAACAACTTATAACATAGTGAGTCAGATTCAGGGAGTCTATACTTTAGCAAAGTTGAGTTTCAAGTTGAATTCACGGGAAATATATATTGTAATATTGTAAACTATCAGGAGGGAGCAGGGGTGCTTAAGTATGTCATTCGGGACTTGACTTTACGGTTGGAGGGCGACAAAAGGATTCCTAAATTCTTCACAATATCCTTTTATGAAAAGGATTGTGAAGCTCAATGTAGTTGTCAGTTGTTTGTGTTTAAAGGCATAGTATGTAGGCATGCCCTTACAATTCTTATCTGTCACGAAGTCAGTTTCCTTCTGGAAAAGTACATTCTAAGAAGGTGGAGAAAGGATGTGAGGCGAGCCCACTCGAAGATGAAAGTTAAATTTAGTACTTGGGTTATCACACCTGAACAATTACGCTATCACGAGCTATGTCTTGCATTTCGTGAGGTTGCTGATCTTGCTGCTCTAAACAACCATGAATGTGAGGTTGTTAAAAAATAGATAGACACCAAATTTAGAGAACTACAACTTGCTGAATCAAGTCAGAAAGAAAAAGAAGTACCGATGAATCATGATTTTGTGGAAGAAGAAAAGGAATATGAAAAGAAGGAAAATGAAAACATATTGGATCCTCTCTCTCAGACTCGAAAAGGTCGGCCTAGGCAAAATAGAATTAAGCCAACAAGTAGGCGAAGAAGGAAGAAATTAATCGAGATGCTAATGTGCCCGTCAACAATCCATCACAGTCTCAAGATGGTGTTCTTTCCTACACACAAGATAGCATGGTTTCAAATGCTTACATGCCACAACCAAATACTATGCATCCATGGAGGATGTGTTGGCCGGCACAACAATTAACAAATGAATGTATGTAGTTGGTAAGATATAGTCCAATGTATTATATCAATATCTTTATTTTCTATGTTACGGATAGGATTTAATCACCATAGCTTACATTGATATGTTACAGCCTCAATTTTCAATGCCTGGAGATCTACATGCGATGGGGTTGACACCTTTGTATGGATTGCATCAAAGAAACATGATGTGATGCATCAAACCTATGGGTATGGTTTGCTTATTGGGGTAAATATTCATCAATTATGCCCTTGTAACAAGTTGTATTAAATTTTGTTTTTGCATTCAGGGCCCTGTTGAGAAAAAACCACCACAAGTTCCTGCTATTGTATGTTTCGTTCCTGATGTTGTTTGGCTCCTGATGCTTTTGGTTGTGAAGCACAAGTTCCTGATGCTGTTTGGCTCCTGATGCTTTTGGTTGTGAAGCACAAGTTCCTCATGTTGTTTGGCTCCTGATGCTTTTGGTTGTGAAGCACAAGTTCCTGTTATTGTATGTTTTGTTCCTGATGCTTTTGGTTGTGAAGCTATGTTATTTTGCCTACTGTTTGGCTTCTGAAACTTCTAGCAAAACTATGTTATTTTGCCTACTGTTTGAGTTCTGTTTTTCTCAACATGAAATTGATGTATTGGATCAAACATATGTTATTTCAGATACTGTTTGAGTTCTGTTTGATGACATGCAGCAAAAACTTTAATGTATTGGATCAAGATATTACAATTTTAGCATTGAGTGGCTTTTGAGGAAAGTGTACTATGAAGCAGAACACCATTTTAGGGCTGCTTTTCATATTGTTAGAAGATCTTGATAAAGCAACAGAATTGGCTTTGGAATGCTTCTAGCAAAACTTCCAGCAAAACAAATGCTGAAACATAATATTTCGAAGCAGTCTAGCAGTCTTTTTCCAAACTCGATTATTATTGTCTTATATATTGTTGATAGAAAAATTCTTTGCAAAGAAGAGATGCACATAAATAGAACTTTAGACTATTCTCATGGATCACAGATTCACAATGATATCACGAGATGTTATAAACTTCCTCATCAGCAAACCTCTAGAAAAGTCGTTGTTAGCCTCCTAGATACTGTCCTCTAATGTAACCCAAGACACAAAGAAGAAATTGATTAAAATACATGAACCGAAGCAAATTTGGTATCATTGCCTAAGTAATAACTAATCATGGTTTACATAACAAAGCTGATGTAGCTCCATATTTAGCTTGATCCAACTGATCAAGCAACTTAACTCCTAAAAATGCACATAACCATCACTAAGCTTTGACAACGGCCATTTTAAGAACTTTAATGCATTCGACATAAAAGGTTCAAAATTCAGACACCACCTGAACATTGAAAGAATCCAAAATAACACCTGCAAAATGAACCTCCATACATTTTATAACAACAAATTGAAAGCATCCAAAAAGAATCATGCCCGTTTGGGATCTCAATTGCTTTTTCATTACACCAGCCATAGAACTCTGATTTTCATAGAACATAGTTGAGTTAGCAAAATATTACAAGTTCCAAACCAAAAACATACCCTTACTTGGATATTATTACAAGAAAAATGGACATCATGAAACCAACAAAAATTCCAAGTAGAAAGCCTTTTTCCTGAATATGTTTCTTCCAAATTCCATTTTCTTCCCCGTGTATTCTTAATCTCAATTTCTCATTTTCAATTGAAAGCTCTTCAAACTTGTGAATAAATATATTCATTGAGTCGTGCGCGTAACTTGGTACTTTGCCATGATCTAACCAAGTCCAACAATTACAAGTATTTGTAGCACAAATTCCAAATTGACGACACGAATGCCTCGGGGTGTAAGAAGTCTTCATTTGCACTGGAATCCCACAAAAGCAATTTGGAATCTCGTATGGAGGTGGACGATTCCACATTGCAGCATATAGCCTCCTATCAAAGAACCTTGTCTGTTTAGAAGAGGATGATTGTTGAGAAGATGTTGACGACATGATTCTGCCGTAGAAGAACGTTTTAGACCAAGTATACTAATTAGTAAAGGAACTAGATAACTTTTTTAATTAAAATCCATGCATCACTCTCTCAAGCCAAAAACTGTGAAGGATCTCACGAGCAAACACAACACAGAGTAAAAGAACTAGATAACCATTTTAATTAACCAGTAAAATCCACAAGACCCACGAAAAAATTCTTGGTTAAGGATGAATTAACCATGCATCACTCCTCAAAACAATCCACAAGACCAACTAAATAATAACCACATCATGATTTCCTGGTATGAAGCTCATAAATAAAAACAAAATCCCCACCTTGAAATTAAACACATCACTCTCTCAAGACCCACGAATTTTTAATTAACCAGTAAAGGAACTAGATGGAAAGACCAATTAACCAGTAAAATCCACAGAGTTTTAATGACCCACGAAAAAATTTGTGGAAAGACCCACTATTTTTTATCTTGTTAACGAGTTTTAATGAACACAACACAGAGTAAAGAAACTAGATAACCATTTTAATCAAGCTAAAATAGTTTGTAAGTAGATTTCAATTAAACAAGATGCAAACAGAAATCATATCAAATCAGACGGCAAGAAGTGAAATTTGCACGAAATCGAGGGTTTTTGATGGATTAAAAAAGAGGAAAGGTACTTGTTTTGAAGTGGGGGGATGAGAGAGAGCGCTTCGATTTTAGGGCTTCTGAACAGAGTTGAAGAGATGGGCTGACTCCGGCGACGGGCGGATACTACGGCGGAAGATGGGCACTTGAGATCGGCGGGCCTAAGAGGAGGCCGATTTGGTCTCGGATGAAGTTGGTTTGGAGTGGTTTTCTCTCGGGGGAGATGGTTGAAGTGAGGAGAGAGAAACTATTTTAGGGGAGGAAGGGAAGGTCACAGACATATTCTGGGAGTGCTGACGTGGGGGCTCCACGTAGGCGTGAGTTGAACTTGCGAGTTAAAGAGCGAGCCAAATAGCATTGTTGTTACAACAACTTTAAATTGTTTTGTTAGACTAGTATAGTATAATGCATGTGCAATCGTACATATTTTATGTTTTAGTTTTTTTATTAAATAATAAAACAAGGTGTTAATAAATAATATTGCATAATAAAATTGTTTAAAATGAAATCTATGAATTAATTATTATTATGTAGTTATTGTAATTGAATGTCTCAACAAAGTAGAATATCAGCTCTTCCTCTCATTAGTTTTAGGACTGGCCTGTCGAGGGAACCTAAATAAGCTATTACAAATCACACAAACAGCGAGACAAACGAATTTTACGTGGTTCGGTAAATTGTCTACGTCCACGGGGCAAGGAGGTGGGAGATCTACTATTAGAGAGAGAGAGAGAATACAAATAGGGTTTATAATTATACAAATTAAACCCTCACACAAACTCTCAAATCTCTCACAAATATCTACACCAATGGATGCTCAAAACCCTAAATCTGGGTTGCTCAAAAATCAGTCAACACCCTCTGGCTGCACACTTGCACACGCCGACGACTGTGGTTTTCCTTCCGCCTTGCTCGTACGAAACCCTAGGGGAGAAGCTGATATTTATAAACAGCTCAATCGGGTCACGCGGAAACGAGTCTTCGGGTGGGCCAACACACGCAACTTCACGAAACCTCTGCTCTTGTTAATCAATCACGTGGGTAGATGGACCCCACATCATTCACACAAGCTATATCTGTAACTAAATTATTCATAATGCAACTTAAATAGAATCATTTCAGATTCCTTTAAAAAAAGTTGAACATTTTTGTCAGCCATATTTTAAACTTTTTTAAAAATAAAATAT